TTCCTAGGCTGGATGGACAGGATTGTGTGTGGAAGTCTTTGGAGTCCGAAAAGGGGGGAGTGTGCACTATGTTCGGGGAAGTATGCTGTACTTACATTCCCAATAACACAGCACCAGACGGCTCAGTGACCAGGGCACTCGAGGGTCTCCGGACCCTCTCCAGAACGATGCATGCACACTCCGGGATCAATAACATCTGGGATGCTTGGCTGACCTCAGCGTTCAGACAGTGGAAAGGCTTAATGGGCTCGCTTTTATTATCCTTTGCTACATTTGCTGCGATTTTAGTCACTTGCGGGTGTTGTTGTATTCCCTGCTTGTCAGACGGCCGCTCCCTGATTATAATCAGTCAAGACAATAAACCTGTGATTTGCAACTTCTCCCCGTGTCAGCTGTGAATCTCTTCTCATCCACGGACCCGGTGGAGACGCCGTGCTCCAACACTCATGCAAAATTAAATGTCATTAATATAGATTAAAAATGAATGATATTTAATCATGATTAATCAAAATTAATCCACAGGAACCCTGTGATTAATCTGATTAAAATTTTTTATCATTTGACAGCACTACAACAAACAAAATAAAAATTCTCCCCCAGATTAATTACTATTTCTCAATGCTTCCTATCATACCTTCAGAAAAATTCTTTCAAACTCTGAACTCATTAATGTCACATTTTTACTGAAAAACAAATACGCAAAAATCAAACATTCCACATTACAAAAAATTTATTTCAAGGCGGATTACAAGCGCAGATTTTTCTTCATTTTTACTTAGCAAATCGACTGCAACACTCAACTAAATGGTCACTCTACATGGTTAGAGCAGGAGCAGCTGTACTGTAAAAATCTCAGACGTGCAGACTTACCCTTTCTCAATATTTCATTAAAGAAACATAACTGCTTTAACAATACTTTTGCACAACGCTGACAGCCTAATGGAAAGCCATAAAAATCACAAACTCAACTCTCAGACCCTGTAAATACACCCCAATATGGAATAATCTGCAATTCCTACTTCACAATCCCACTATTAACTATTACTCATGGAAACAGAAAGGGATTACACATCTCCGCCTCCTTTTCAAAAACAGTCATTTCATGACATTTAAAGACTCAATCCATAAATACGGAGTTGAGAATAAGCAATTTTTGGATGTCACTGATGATTATCTGCATGGTATGTGGGCCAGTAAACCTGTACACAGTGCATCATGGGTGACACAGAAAATTATCTCCATACTCTGTGGACCTGTATTCCTGCTCACAGTGCATCATAGGTGTCACAGATAATTATCTGCATGCTATGTGGACCTGTATTCCTGCTCACAGTGCACCATGGGAGTCACAGATGATTATCTGCATGCTATGTGGGTCTGTATACCTGCTCTCAGTCCACCATGGGTGTCACAGATAATTTTCTGCATGCTATGTGGGCCTGTATACCTGCTCACAGTGCACCATGGGAGTCACAGATGATTATTTGCATGCTATGTGGGCCTGAATACCTGCTCACAGTGCACCATGGGTGTCACAGATGATTATCTGCATGCTATGTGGGCCTGTATACCTGCTCACAGTGCACCATGGGTGTCACAGATGATTATCTGCATGCTCTGTGGGCCTGTATACCTGCACACAGTGCACCATGGGGGTCACAGATAATTATCTGCATGCTATGTGGGCCTGTATATCTGCTCACAGTGCACCATGGGAGTCACAGATGATTATCTGCATGCTATGTGGGCCTGTATACCTGCTCACAGTGCACCATGGGTGTCACAGATAATTATCTGCATGCTATGTGGGCCTGTATATCTGCTTACAGTGCATCATGGGGGTCACAGATAATTATCGGCATGTTATGTGGGCCTATATACCTGCTCATAGTGCACCTTGGGAGTCACAGATAATTATCTGCATGCTATGTGGGCCTGTATACCTGTTCACAGTGCACCATGGGTGTCATAGATGATTATCTGCATGCTATATGGGTCTGTATACCTGCACACAGTGCACCATGGGTGTCACAGATAATGATCTGCATGCAATGTGGGCCTGTATACCTGCTCATAGTGCACCTTGGGGGTCACAGATGATTATCTGCATGCTATGTGGGCCTGTATACCTGTTCACAGTGCACCATGGGTGTCACAGATGATTATCTCCATGCTCTGTGGGCCTGTATACCTGCTCATAGTGCACCATGGGAGTCACAGATGATTATTTGCATGCTATGTGGGCCTGAATACCTGCTCACAGTGCACCATGGCTGTCACAGATGATTATCTGCATGCTATGTGGGCCTGTATACCTGCTTACAGTGCATCATGGGAGTCACAGATAATTATCTGCATGCTATGTGGGCCTATATACCTGCACACAGTGCACCATGGGGGTCACAGATAATTATCTGCATGCTATGTGGGCCTATATACCTGCTCATAGTGCACCATGGGTGTCAAAGATAATTATCTGCATGCTATGTGGGCCTGTATACCTGTTCACAGTGCGCCATGGGTGTCATAGATTATTATCTGCATGCTATATGGGTCTGTATACCTGCTCACAGTGCACCATGGGTGTTACAGATAATTATCTGCATGCTATGTGGTTCTGTATACCTGCACACAGTGCACAATGGGTGTCACAGATAATTATCTGCATGCAATGTGGGCCTATATAGCTGGTCATAGTGCACCTTGGGGGTCACAGGTAATTATCTGCATGCTATGTGGGTCTGCATACCTGTTCACAGTGCACCATGGGTGTCACAGATAATTATCTGCATGCAATGTGGGCCTATATAGCTGGTCATAGTGCACCTTGGGGGTCACAGGTAATTATCTGCATGCTATGTGGGCCTGCATACCTGTTCACAGTGCACCATGGGTGTCACAGATAATTATCTGCATGCAATGTGGGCCTATATAGCTGGTCATAGTGCACCTTGGGGGTCACAGGTAATTATCTGCATGCTATGTGGGCCTGCATACCTGTTCACAGTGCACCATGGGTGTCACAGATAATTATCTC